ACGCCTCCGAGCACCTTCTCCTGTGCTCACGGGACTTCCTCTCCGAGGGCCGTGCGTGTCTTCTGCCCGTTTTTCAAGCTCATGTCATCTGCTTGCTGATGTGGGACTTCTCCACATAGCCCGGATGCAAGTCCTTGGCCAGAAAACATCCTTCCCGGCCTGCGGAGTGTTTACGCTCCTCCTGGGCCCTTTCGATGTTTGGACAATCTTAACCTTAAGGACGTCCAATCCGTCACATCTTTTCCCTGACGGTTCACGCTTCCTGTGCCTCGTTACAGAAACCTTGGCCTGTCCCGAGGTCACGGCTGTCTCGCTGTGCTTTCCTCGCGTCCCATGGTCTCTCCCGTCCCGGGGAGGCCTCTGAGCTCACCTGAATCAGCCCCGTGACTGGCGCCTCGCAGGGGGTCACGGTTCGGAGTTTTCCCTGTGGGTATCTAATTGTTCCATGTAGTGAAAAGACCGTTCTTTCCGCTACGGGATTAAAGGAGTGACTTGGTTACAGACCGAGTGATCACCTAAGGCGCGTTTACGTCCCTAGACGTCTTGTGCTGTCCCGAGTCATCTGTTGCCACGGGACCCGTTGCCGAGGCAGGAGAACCCTGCATCTGTCTGGCACACCGTGCGCGTCCCCGTGGCCTGCACGTCCATCCTCGACATTTGCTCTTCTTCAGAAGCGTCTCGTCCAGTCTCGGCTCCTTGCTTTTTCATAGATAGTTTAGAATCAGCTTCAACTCTCCAGATAAATGAATAAATAAAAGCGCTCGGGTGTTGACCGGGATCCCATCTAATCCGCACCTCGGAACCGGCATCTTACGCGTGTCGCGTCTTCCGGTTCGTGCACAGTCTGGACAGTCTGTCCCTCGATCCAGGTCCAGTTCGTTTCATTTCCGTCCCTGTGGGTCTCGCTTTTCTCGGTAGAGGTCGCGCTCATTTCGATAGACGGGTCGCCGGCGCTTTATGGGTGTCGACGCTGTTATACGTGGTCTCTTTTATTTCATGTTCTCTTTGTTACTGGCCGGTAGACGTACAGCTGGGTTTCGTTTGTCACCTTTAACATCGGTGTCACTGCTCAGTTCATTTAGCGATAGTTCGGCGGAAGGTTCTTAAGGACGTTTTTACAACTACGATCACGTCATTTGCAAATAATGACAGTTTTCCTTTTCCCTGTTTAATCGTGCTAGCTTCTGTTTTTTTTTTTTTTTTTTGCTCCTGTGCCCCGGCTGACACTCTGGGGACCCGATTAAATAGAAATGGTGACAACAGACATTCTCGTCCGGCTCCCTGCCTCAGGAGGAAGGTGTCCGGTCGTTCACCATGCGTATGATGTTTGCTTAGAGTTTGTCTTTTTCTGCTTTGTGTGCTTTTGTTTTTTTTTTTTTTAACGGAACAGAGCTCTCTCCTTGTCCTCGTACCCCTAGAGTTATGTTTTCAATCATGACTGCGTCTTGAGTTTTATCGAATGTTTTTCCGCATCTTTTGAGTTGATTATATGTTTTTCCTTACTTCCCCTGTTCGCGTGGTGGACTCTGATGATCGATTTGCAGACGTTAAACCAACCTCGTGTAACCGGATTCAACTGCACCCCGTCACGTGTCCCTCTTTACAGCATCGGCTTCAATTTGCCGGTTTTGTGGGCAGGATATTTGCATCTACGTTCACGAGAGAGATCAGCCCGGTGCTTTTTCTTTCTGGAAATATCCTTTTCAGGTTCTGATATCAAGGTTCTGCTGACTCATAAAAATCCTCTAAAAGGATTCGTATACAATTGGTGTTATTTCTGCCGTAAATGTTTAGAAGCATCTACCGGCGAAGTCATCTAGACTTCGAGGTTTTACTGTGTGCTTGGAAAGATCGTTACATTTCCAGATTTAATTTCTTTAATATTGGGCAATTTCGGTGTTTTATTTCTTCTTGTGTCTCCTTTTGTACGTCGTTTTTAAGAAATCATTCTATCTTATCTAAGCTATCAAAATTATTTTTCTGTACAATATCCTCCAAATAGATTTTTTAAAGATATCACCGGGTCTATACCGATGTTCAGTTTCTAATTCCTGTTGTTGGCAATTTGTGTCCCCCACGCCCCTCGATCTTGCTAAAAGTTTATCGATTTTACTAGTCTCTTCAGAGAATAGAATTTGGGCTCTCGATTTTTCTTAAGACAATGTCCTTTTTTTAAGTTTCATTGAATCACGCTCTTCTCTTTATGATCTCGTTCCATCCACATTCTTTGGGTTTAATTTGCTATTTTTTAAAAAACCTTTCGAGACAGATTTCAGCCTCTCCTCTTCTCAGATATTCATTTAAGGTCATAAATTGTCCTCCAAACACTTCGCTTCACGGTACTGATTTAGCTTTAAGTTTTCTTACGTGACATTTTTATGATGATTCCGTTAAAAATATTTTCCAACTCTTCCTGGATTTCTTCTTTGACCCTTAAGTTACTTAGATTCATTTCCAAAACATCGAGGGATTTTTCTGGTTATCTTTTCCTTATGAGTTTCTAGCTTAATTCGCTGTAGCCAGAGAGCAAACGTCCACGGTTTAATTCCTTTGAAATTTGTTGGAACTTGCTCTTAAAGCCCCGCAGGTGGTCTCTTCTGATAAGTGTTCCAGGTGTACGTGTTCCAGGTGTACGTGCACGGCTTAGTGCCCTTCGGTTACTGAACATGTGGTCTGTAAACATTGACCAGGTCAAGTTGCTACCCGCATGATCCCATTTGGGTCTCTGTTCGTGTTTTGACAGATTTCTATCAGTTACCCGCAGGGATGTATTCATATCTCTCACTGTGATTATGGATTTTCTTGTGTACCTTTGAGTCCTGTCAGTTTGGGCTTTATGTATTTTAAGGTCATGTTTTCAGGGGCATACAGATTTAGAATTGATACCTTCCTAGCAAATTCTGATCATTTTTTAAATGATGAAACGTCCCTCTTTATCTCAAAGGTAAAGACTTTTATCGAAGTCTCCCGTATCTGATGTTAGGTTACCTGCGCCAGCTCAGTCTGGCTACTGCACGATACGTCTTTTTCTATCCTCGTGCTGTCAATCTTGATGTATCTTTATATTTATATTTAAAGACGATTTCTAAGCAACATGAAGCTATTTTTAAAATCCTGTCTGACGATCTCGGTCTTTTCATTGGAACGTTTAGTCCCTTTGCAACTCATGCGATCTGCTGTCTTCTACTTGCTTTTTATTTGTTCCACACCTTCCTTTGTATCCCGTTTCCTGCTTCTTTGGGATTAATCAGATATCGCTGTTATCGAATTTTGATCCTCCAGGAGCTCGTCAATTCTACATGCTTTTATTATGCCATCAGTGGTTGCCTAGAGATCATAAAATACATCCTCGACTCACTAGAGCCGACCTCGGGTTGGCTCATTTCCCTGACGGCCCACGGTGCTTACAACCATTCGGCTCCCCGGACGCTTCTGCCTTCATGCTGTTTTACTTTTAGGTCACGTACACATAGTCTATGTGTAGTATTTAGATGCATCCAGATCTAGAATTGATATCGTCCTATCAAAGCGGCCACTTCTTAAATTATGAAATATCGCTCCTTCTCTCTCTCTCTCTCTCTCTCTCTCTCTCTCTAGCAATACTCAAACCTCATGAAACAGGATTGTTTTGGTCCACACTAATTTAAACTTCCTCATAAATCTGTCCTTTCCTGCGCTTTCAATCCCTCTCTCTGGTCCCCGGCCTCCTTCTGGGGTCATTTCTCTTTGTCTGGGGAGTCCCCCCAAGTCGTTTTTCGATGCAGGTCTCCCAGCAGTGAATTCTCCGGGCGTGGGTTTTACCTCCCTGTTTCTCATTGTGATAAAATACACAGAATATAAAATTTGCCGTCTTAGCCATGTGGAGTATACAGTGCAGGGACATTAAAGTATCAATGTCACAAGGTTGCACAGCCGTCACCACCACGTCCAGATCTTCATCGTCCCAAACACAGACCGTGTCCCCTTTAAACACCCGCTCCCCTCCCCTCCCCCAGCCCCCGGCGCCGCCATCCGCTTTCTGTCGCCATGAATCCGATCCCTCCGGGGACCTCACTGAAGTGGAATCGCACGGGATTTGTTCTTTTCGCTTTTACTTATCCGAGTATAGTTGATGGGTACAGAACGCCGAGCTGGTAGATATTTTCCTTGAGCACTTTAAAAATGTCATTTGGTTTTTATCCTTTCTGTTGACAAGTCAGCCATCGGGGTAACGTGCCATCACGCCCCCCTTCCTTCACTGCTCCCGGGACGTGTCCCGCGCCTCCGGACTTCGGCAGTGTTACGCGGATCGGCCTGGGTCTGGTGGACCCTGCCTCTCTCCAGTGGGGTCCGAAGAGCTGCTCGAATCTGTGGCCTGATGTCTTCCATCATTTTTGGAAGATTATCAGCCACCGAGCGTTCAAAATTACTTGTTCTCCATTGCCTCTCCTCTCCTGAGATTTTGCGTGCCTTAGAACTTTGAACCGTGTCTCACGCGGTTCGTGATGTTTCTAGAAGGATCTTTGTTTCTAGAAGGAACTGTAGAGGGGAGACGATGCATTCCCCATAACAGAGTGAGTGGCTCGGGGTAGTAACGGTCCTTGGTATTTGTCCCTAAATTTCCCAGCCGCATGACTGTTTGTGGAACATTCCAGCTGAAAGGGGCCTTGGGCGTCATCTGTTTCTACCCCTCCCCGTTACACCGGGCCCTGAAGGCCCGAGATAGGAAGAAGCTTCTGTGGCTCCACTGTGAGTTGGGGGCACAGCCATTGTGAACCCGGGACCCTAACTCCCACCCCACTTCTGAGCGACAAGCAAAGAAAGGGTCCCTCTGGGATCATCCCAGCAGAAAGAGCCTCCCCTCTCCACCTCCACTCCCAGGAAACGGCCACGAAGGTGTCCGCCCCGCGGGGCTGAGCGGGCTCCTTGTTTCTAGAAGGGCTCGGCCCGCGTGCCACAGGGAGGGCCCCAGGCCTCTGGCAGGTGGCCACTCACGCCCTCCTCTCTGTTCTGCGTTGCAGGCTGCGGGAGCACCATCGGGCCACCATCAAGGTCGTCCGGCGCATGCAGTACTTTGTGGCCAAGAAGAGGTTTCAGGTGAGTCCTGCGCTGAGCCCTCTCCTCTGCCCCAGAAGCCCCTCCCGCCCCTGGCGGAGGCTGCGGGGTCGCAGTCCCCTGACACGTCCGAGACCAGACCCCTCACCCACCAGAGACCCTGCGACAGCTTTGTTATCCATCCCTAAGACAGCAGGCCACTGGAAGGACACGTCTCTCACCTGTCCTGGCCCCTGAGGCCCAGCCCGGAGCCTGGGACACGCACAGAGCCTCTGGGGCTCATTCACCTCTGCCCTGAGTGACGGGCAGATGGCGTGGGCAGGACTCAGAGAGGGTGCAGAGCCTACCCCATCACCTGGGGAGGAAGTGGGGTCCCCCAGACCCCAGAGCCCCATCCCACACCTGCTCAGAGCTCTTGTGCTCCCTCTCCCACCCTGTGTGAGTCCTGGCCGTGCTCAGTGTCCCCGGTGGTGGCCGCCGTCACAGCACGAGGCGGGGTCTCCTTGGCTGGGTGAGGCTGGGGCCCACGGGGTTCCATACACTCCTTTCCAGGGGTGAGACTCCAGCAGCAGACCCTCAGCCACCGGAGCCCGAGGCCCAGAGAAGCCGCTTGGCGACACGCTCAGGCCCTCTCCTTCTGCTGGGGGTGGTGCTCGGCCCACGGACAAGGGCCCAGCTGAGCGCTTACTGCATGCAGACTGGTCATCCTCCCTCCAGAAGGCCTGGCCCTTGTGGCATGTGCCAGCTCAGGGCCCCGTCGTCTTTCTCACCTACCGTCCTATGTCACCCTCACTCCCTCCCTGCCAGCCAGAGTGAGGCAGGCTCAGCATCCCATTTCACAGCGGGAGGAGCAGGGCTCAGCATCCCATTTCACAGAGGGAGGAGCAGGGCTCAGCACCCCCTTTTCACAGAGAGAGGAGCAGAGCTCAGCACCCCCGTCTCACAGAAGGGAGGAACAGGGCTCGTCCCCCTTTCTACGACAGAAAAGCTGACACCTGGGTATATTATCACCAGCCTGTCCCTGAGTACCATTTTATTTATCCGAGTGTGTGGAGATCCAGAGAGTCTGCCCGGAGCCCCATGCCACGCCTGCCCCGTGCCAGACTCACCTGGTGGATCTTTAGGGGGCAGGGCCCCCTGCACTTCTAGCGCCCGGCCCCTGTAAGCGGGCAGCCTCCAACTCCTCTGCCTGGGGTTCCCGGGATCCAGAACAATGTCACAGAGTTGCCCAAACTCTGCTAAGCTGCCGGCACTGACGGCAGAGCCCTGGGCATGTCGGCATGTACCGACACCGGAGGGGTCCCCCATCTTTCTGGGAAGGCAGAGGTAGCCATTCCCTCAGGCTAGGGTAGCCCCAGTCTCTGGGGTGGCACCCACAAGAAAGTCAGGCCCCAGGCGGGCAGGGAACATGTGTCCCTTGGGCCCCACAGCCAAGACCCAGCCCTGACCCTCCACGGGACCTGAACCTTGTTCTTTCTCGTCCCCTGAGCTGGGCCGGCCCGGCCCCGCCCTGCCTGGCGTGCCCTTTGTACCCCAGCAAGAGACGGCCACCCCCCATCCACCCATCAGTGCTGACGAGGCCCGGCGGGGTAGAGGGGTCCTGTGTTCCCACGTGGCTCCACCTAGCAAACGGGGGTGCCAGGCCTCCCGGGCCATCGAAACCTCACTCGGCCAGCCTGCGGCTCCCCGGGCAAGCCCCCCGGCTCTCGGGCTCCTGGGAGCAGGGCCAGAAATGCGGCTTGAGGTTTCGCCGACGTCATGAGACGCCTCCTTCCCTTTTGTGGTTTCTGGTGATGGCACCTGAGCCCCGGGGGCACTTGCGGGCTGAGAGCTGGGGCTGAGCCTGGGAACCCGGGGGTCACCTGCTCTGCCCCCACGGCCCCAGGCCTGCTGTGGGAGCATCTGTCTGCCCCGGCAGCCTCGGAGCCCCAGCGGGAGGGGAGGCCTGCCACCCAGAGCAGATCTGCAGGCCGAGGCGGTCACCTGGGGTCACCTCTGCCTGGGAAGGGCGCGTGGTGGGCCACCTCCCCGCCCTGCGGACACTGGGAGCACCTGCCAGCGAGAAGCAGAGCGTGTCCTGGCCCCTGAGGCCCAGCCCGGAGCCTGGGACACGCACAGAGCCTCTGGGGCTCACTCACCTCTCCCCTGAGTGACGGGCAGATGGCGTGGGCAGGACTCAGAGAGGGTGCAGAGCCTACCCCATCACCTGGGGAGGAAGTGGGGTCCCCCAGACCCCAGCACCGGGTGACCGTGTGGCCCTCCCGACCCCCCGGCTGGGCCAGCTCCTCCACGGCCCTCTGAGCACGGGGACTGGTGGCCTGGAAGGCCCAGGGAGGACCTCCTGCTGGCCAAGCCCCCGGGGGCACCCCAGGAACTGCTGCCCTCTGGGCCGGCCTGCCTGCCGCACCACGCGGTGACCTCCTCGAACCCCAAAAGGCCCAGGCGCCTGCACTACGTGCGTCTCGCCGAGCCGGGGCGCGGAGGGGTGACTCGCGTCCTCTGCCCCGCAGCAAGCCCGGAAGCCCTATGACGTGCGGGACGTGATCGAGCAATACTCCCAAGGCCACCTCAACCTCATGGTGCGCATCAAGGAGCTGCAGAGAAGGTGGGCGCGGCCCCAGGGGCCTGGGACCCGAGCGGGGCCGGGACGGGAGGGGGCGGAAGCATCTGCTGCTCCCCACGTCGAGCCCTCAGCTGCCCCCCAGTTCGGAGCTGCAGGACACTTCACAGCCCGCCCCGCACCTCCCCACCCTGAGCCCGGAGCCAGGGACCCTGACCATGGGGGGCCAGCACGCTCTGGCTTCGGGTTGAAGCCTGGAGAGCTCGTTCGGATGGAAGCAGCACAATCCTGGGGGGACAGGGCTCAGACCAGCTGTGTCCCACAGGGGCTAAGCCCAGAGCTTGGCTCCGTGTGTCACAGGGTCCCAGGGCTCACTGACCCACCACTGCCACGTGAAGCCCACCAGCTCAGGGGCCTGGCCCCACCCGGAAGTGCCCCTCCCGGGCCTGCCCCTCTGAGCATGTCCGAGGTGCCCGCCTGGGGAATTTACGAAGCAGCCATGAGACACTGGGTGGTTCTGGGGTCCTGCCCTGCCTGGGGGGGGAGTCTAAGGGGGGCTGCCCACCCACCGAGCCCCCTCTCAGCACCCCCAGGAGCATGGGCCTTGGGCCTGGGAGGCAGCTGGCAGGTTCGTGGGTGGCAGTGGTGGGTGGCCCTGGAGGTGGGCACCCCGGCCACCCTCCCGCCGATAGGCCGGGGGTCCATGTGGTGCCCAGGCCGAGCGTGAGCAGCTCTCCGTTCCCTCCCCAGGCTGGACCAGTCCATCGGAAAGCCCTCCCTCTTCATCTCTGTGTCAGGTGGGTTTCTGCGGTGAGACGCCCTGGCACGGAGTCCCCACCGTGCCCTTCCCTGCCCGCCCGCCTTGCCCGCCATTGGAGCGGAGCACAGGGCCTCCGGAGTGCGTGACAGGGACCGAAGGCCAGGCGGGGACAGGGGACCCCACCCTGAGCAAAGCGGCCCCGATGTGCTTGACGAGGGGCTTTTGGTCCCTGTGAGAGAAGCATGCAGATCTGGGCATGGACTCGGCCTGCGCCCTGCTGCGGACAGCTGGGCAGTGGGGCTTGGGGGCCGCAGGGCGAGTGGCCAGCCCAGAACTGGAGGCGCCCTTGGTGCCTGGCTCCGACTCCTCACGGCCTGGGACAGGGCTGTGGGCCACGGCGGGGAGGACAGGGCCAGGCAGGTCCTTGGGGGCCGCCCGAGTTCACGCGGGAGCCGCGGCGCCCACGGGGGCCGGGTCGGCAGGGGCGGCAGGCAGTGGGGCGCATCCCCCCCTCCTGTCCCCGGCACCCCAGTCACGGGGCTGGGAAGAGTGGATGAGGGGGTAGTCTCGCCCTCCAGCCCCCCAACCCCACCCACCACCTCCCGAAGTTCTTGCCACAGAAATGCTCCCTGGAGCTCGCGGGTCCAGGCGTCTCGCCCCCCAACCACCTCGCCCACACCCCCGTCCCCGGGCCCAGTTGGGGTGCCGTGCCCCCCGCTGCCAGCACGCACCCCTGATTTCCGCGCTTCGCCCCACAGAGAAGAGCAAGGACCGTGGCAGCAACACCATCGGCGCCCGTCTGAACCGAGTGGAGGACAAGGTAGGCCGGGCGGGCGGCGCGGCCGTGGGGACCGACTGCTCGGGGTTTCCCGGCCGGCTCCGCGCGGGCGGGGCCTGAGCGCACGCGGGGCTCCGTCCTCCCTCCTCCCTTCTGCGCTCGGGGTGCACACGCGACGCCAGGGCCCCCTGAGGGGGGCTCGTGCCCGCTCCACTCCGCTCGGCTGGCCGTCGGTCCCATGGGTCGAAGTCCAGGCCAGGCTGGTTTCTCGGCCTCTGACGAATGGCATCTTCACTGGCAAGAGGCACCCAGTGCCCACAGGTCCTCCGTGGAGTGGCCGTGGGCCCCAGGCCCCTCCACTGCCCGGTCCCGACTATGCTGGGGGGTATGGGGCGTCGGCCGAGGCCCTGCTGGGCCTCCAGGGGGGAGATGGGTGCCTGCACTCCGGGGTGCCGGCCCCCCGGCCACCGGCAGGCCCCCTCCCGCCGGGCGCAGTGCCCTGTCGGGCCCCTTCTCAGGATGCCCTGGGAGCCGAGGGGGGTCTGGGCGGGGAGGGCGGCCCGAAGGCTCCGTGGTCTGCCGCGGGTGGTTATCTTGCCGAACAGCTCGTAGGGCGACGTGGACTTTATCTAAAAGTCGCTGGGAGGCTAAAAATAGAGGGCTTTCGGTTGGGCAGGGAGCGCGGCTGCCCGTTTCCCTGGCAACACCTGGCTCCAGCCCATGCCGTCCATCCGCTGCAGCTGGGCAGACGGGGGGCAGGGGGAGCGTGGCTGCACCCCACCCTGGGCCACACCCCACCTCACCTGCACGGTCTGCCCGGCCTGCGCCGGCCGCGGTCCGTGGGATCAGCCGCGAGATGGAAGCCGGCGTCCAGGTGCCCGCTCGGGCCCTCGCTTCGGGCCTGGCCCGCCAGACAGCCGTGCCCTGACCCCGCCGCAGGGCCCGGGCCCGGCCGCCAGCTCAGGCCTGAGCAGGGCTGGTGCCCCGCCTTCCACCACAGACAGCCCAGTGGGACTGTCTAGCAGGGCAGGCGGGGAACTGAGCGTGGGAGAGGTCAGCCCACCAGGCCGGCCGGGCCCGGGCTCTGCCACTCAGGTGGACGTGACATGTCCTTGGCCTTTGGTCTCTATGCTCGGGGCCAGAGACACGCGTGGGCACCCCCTGGGAGCCACGGCAGGCAGCCGCGCCCAGGGGGGCAGGCCGGGCACCCTGTGTAGGAGGCAGAGGTGGACCCAGGTGGACCCCGCACTGAGCCCCAAGTCCCGCCCGGGAGCAGGCTTGGCCACGGCACCTTCTGCTGACCGGCCCCCGCCGCCGGCCGGACTCGTGGGGTGCCTGGGGTCCCGAGTCTGGAAGCTGCCTCTCTGCTCCCCGCTCCCAGATGCTCTGCCCCCCTCACTCGTCCCCAGGCAAGAGCTACGGGGGCCTGAGAACCAGGACACAGTCTCCGGTCAGCCGACATCGGTGCGGTGGGCTGAGGTGGGGCCAGCGCTGGCCTTGGGGTACCAAACGATGCGCCCACATTTCTTCAAATCAGAACAACAAAGGCGAGCATCTCCCAGAGCCCCCGAGCCCTGCGGGCAAGGTCTGGGGACGAAGCCCGGCCTGGCTGGCCCGGTGGTTAGGATTCCAGGACACTAGTCTGCGTGCAGCTTAGGGAGACAGGTCTGTGCCGCCCACAGAGGTGGGGTCGCCTGCCTGGCCTTGGTGGTGAGCCCGGCCACTCCGCATGCCGAGCCTCAGCTCCCTGTCCACCAGGCGCCCTCGGAAGGCGCTGGGCCCAGGCGGAGGCGGGGGCGGCGCCGGCTCAGTCAGCCCAGCCCCTCCCCTGTGCTGACCGGTGCCCCCCCTTGGGGACAGACCCTGGGAAAGGGCCTCGCCAGGCCCGGAGGGCACAGTGGCACGTCCTGGGCCCCACGTTATCGCACTTATCACTGCGGCCATCGTCGTCGTGCCCGTAAACAGCCCCGCACAGCCCTGCTGTCTGCGGGGAGCGGGGGCAGGAAGTCCAGCAGCCGCCCGGCCCTCAGAGGCCCAGCAGGCGGGAGCGGTGGCAGTGCCAGCAGACCGCCACCCCCAGCCGGAGCCCCTTCCCCACCCCGCCTGGCTGGCCTGGCCGGAAAGGAGGCCGGCCCCGGCTGTGGGAGCCGGGGGTCCGGCCCCCACTGCTTCCTCGCTCAGCTCAGGCCCTCAGCCATGACCGTGACAGGGTCCATCCCAGGCCGGCTCGCTTAGCTGCAGGATGAGAGGCTCCGAGAGGACTAGGGAGGGGCCTTGGGGCGCACGGCCACTGGCCCCCACTCTTGGGAGCAGGCCGTTCTGAGGGTCAGGGGCCTGGGTGTCCCCTTGCAGAGAGCGGCCAGGCAAGGCCAGTGCAGCCTGGAGCACCTTCTCCCTGTGTCTGGGCCGGGGCCCCATGGCAGAGGACGGCCCCATGCACTGCCCTCGCTTATCAGCGGGGTGCCTCCGCTCCCACCTCTGGGATCCCCATTCCCGGGGCACCTCGTACCCCTGGCCCAGGCCCGGCAGTCCCCTCAGCCCCGCTGCACCCCGGGGCTGCAGAGCAGAAGCCGCATCCCCCCCCCCCCACAGCCCTCACCCCCGGGCCCCGCCGCAGACACCCGGAGCCCTCCTTCCGCTGTGCGGGGGAGGCTGTGACAACTGTGCTTCTGGTCCCCAGAGGCCCAGAGTCGCCGCTCACTCTCCCACGTTGCCCTGTTTATCCTGGAAAGGACTGTTATTTGTCCAAATGAGTCCTCCTTTACAGGTGGGGAAACTGAGGCTCAGAAAGGGTGAGCAGTGAGGTGAGGTCACGCAGCTGGTTAGGTGAAGAGCCGGTCCCCACGGGGGCCCCAGACCGGTGGGGGAGATGAGGCGGAGGGACATGAGAAACCAGGTCTGCAGCCTAAGGCCACGTGTGAACAGGGAGGGCCGAGGCGGGGGCTGGGCCGGGAGGCGGGGATTTGCTCGGTGGTCGGTGGTCGGTGGTCGGTGGTCGGTGGTCGGGGGCGGCACAGACGGGGCAGCCGCGCCTCCCCAGGCCCTGGCACGGGGGCCCTGAGGACGAACGCGGGCCCTGCCCAGCCCCCGGCCTGGGCTTCTCTGGGCCGCTGGGTCGGGGCTGCTGGCGGGGGAGGCAGGCGTCCCCGGGCCCTCTGGGGGCCAGATGGCGGAGGCCTCTCTGGCCTCCCGCCCCCGCGTGCGTTCCTAGCTAGTCCCCGGCCTGCTGCGGTGTTTTCGTGAGCCCTGTTTATTTTGCAAGCTCAGCTCATACTGCTTTTGCTGATATGAGGCACACAGTGGGCTGGGAGGGTTTCTTTCTTCTCTGTGTTTGCCGGAAACGTCCATGGCTCAGAACCGGATACAGGGAAGTCCTGGGTTTGCAGGCCCCAGTTCAGAGGGCGTGGGTGGGAAGGGCCCCCCCACCACCTAACACTCCTTCCCACCATGTCCAGCCCGGGACCCCCACCGCCCAGCTGCCCGGACCCCTCCTCCCCTTGGCCCAGGCAGGCCCAGCAACCCAGGAGCTGGGGGCGCCCCCGACACCTCCTTCCTCTCAGCCCCTCATCCCAGAGGGGCTCCTCCACCCACCCGAGCCTGCAGAAGGACCCCAAGGAATGTTGTCCCAACCGGTCCCCCCGCCGGCCCCCTGGAGCTCCTCCTCGCCCCGCAGCGCCCCGTCCCTCCGTGCGGGGTCAGCCTTTATGATCTGGCACTTAGATGGGTTTCCAGCGGCTGTGCCTCTGCGGCCTCCAGCCCCTCCCCCGCCCGTCACGTTGTATATTATTTCTTAAACACCACTGAAATCCCCAGGCTAATATTGTCTTTGGAATGTTTGCGTCAATATTTATGCGTGACAGACATGCTTAACAGAGCACCCTCCGCTGTCCTCGTGGGCTTCGTGCCGAGCGCATGTGGGTCTGGCAGGATGAGCTGAGAAGCGTTTCCTCGTTTCTCTGTGTTCTGGGATGTTTTGTGTAGGATTAAGATTTTTATCCCTTGCGTGTTGTGCAAAATGTGTTTGCAGAGACATCTCGGCCTGGCGTTCTCTTCGTGGGAAAACTTTTAACTCTGACTTCGGGTCTCGAACGGTTGTCTCTTCTCGGGTCCGTTTGGATAAGCCGCGCGCTCTGCTAATTTGTACATTTTTGACCTTCACGTTCAAACGCGTGGGCGTTTATCACGTTGAGGTCTGTATCAACAGCATCGAGCCCCGTCCTCACTGCCAATAAATATTATGGGGGGGGGATGTCTCTTGTTTTCCCGTTGGTCAAATTTGCCAACTATTTGCCCATTTTCTTAATATCCACAAGGAATTTCTGCCCTTGTCGCTCTGTTACGGGTTTTGTTTTGACATTCCCGTCTCTCTAGATTCTTCCATTCGCTTGGCTTGAATATATTGCTTGCTCTAACTTCTCAGGTCGGATGATCACTTCTTTTCAGATCTTCTAGATGCCGCTCGAAATCACATCTCCCCCCCAGCTGTGGTATGTAGCACGTACTTGGAATGTTCATTCCCTTGTAGATTTTTCTAACGTCCGTTACGACCTCTTGTTTTCCTTTACACACTTTTAGATCTTATAATTAGGTACACATATACTCAAATTTTTATACATTCACTACTGGGTTTAATGGTTTATAACTATGTAATACCTTCTTTAACTCAAGTAGTGTTTTTCGCCTTACAGTCTATTGTCATTGCCATACACACTTAATTTTGTTTATATATCTTTTTTACCAAAGCTTTATCGAGGTATAATTTACGCCATAAAATTTATTTAATTTATGCCCTAAAATTCTCCCAATGTAAACGTATAACAAATTTTAGTAAATTTATAGTTCGATGTGCAACCATCATCAAAACTAAGTTTTAGAACATTTTCAACCTGTCCTACCCCCCGCCAAAAAAAAGTTCCCTCAGTTCCGTTTGGAATTACCGTCAGCTCTCGCCCACGGCCACAGTCAGTCACCGTTCCGCATTCTGTGTCTGTGCCCTTAAATTTCTATGAGGCTGGAAATGTGCCTTCTCCGGGTATGTCCTA